AAGATCTTTCCTTCCAACCAGATATTTCCATTTGCTATCCCTTTTTAATTGCAGTTGCTATCGGAAGTCTTCAAGAAATCTTATTTGGTAAACTTTTTTTTTTATTTGTGATTTTTGTAGCACCAAATCTATAAGATCTGATGAAGGGCTGTCTTCTTTAACACCTAATAAATGTAAATATATTTAATGGGTAGGGGAATTCGCAAAAGGTAAGAAGTTGTCCAATGTCTAAAATAATCCTATTTTTGAATATTAACAAGCATAGATTTAATAACTTACAAAAAATAACTTTTTCTGCACTGAGTAAAACTGGTTGCTATATTTACCTCCGTATAAGAGGTGCACTTATCATAAAAAAGCAAAATCAAAATGTTGCACTGAATTCAGTGTAATACGAATGGAAAGCTGATCATTGAAGCCCCGAACTTGTGGATAAAAATAAAACACGAGCAGACCCGAAAATACAAAATGGTTGTTCAAAAAAAGCAGCAAATCAAATATACAGAATTACTTTTGTTTTTAAAACTTGTCATAGTCTGTCCGAACTCCCACTCATCAACGAAAATGAAACTGCTCACCTCGACAGCCATAGCTCAAATACCACTAGAAACGCGTTACCTAATGTTTAAAATCAATTTTGAAAAATGAAAAACCTTTCTTGAAGCTTTTATTTTTAATTTCAAGCTAATAATTTAATACTTCTAAGTAAAATAGTTTGTTGTATTTCCAAACTAAATTAAATTTAGGAAAATATTCTCCGTAATCTGATGTTTTAATGAATTTTAGGTACTTTGTTTTTAAATTTACTATAGTTATATGATAATGAGATAATATCCTGTATGAACGTCCGTAGTTGCAAAAATCGCCACTTTTATAAACGTACAAAAAAAATTCAAAATTCTTTTTAAAATATTGAATGTTGATAAATTGTACAAAACTTTACCATGTACAATTAGTAAATATAGATTTTTTTACTTAATAACAATATCACCTAACCTCTACAAATCAAAAGATTAAAAACTTTATAAATTATCATAATTAAATATTTTAAAAATGAAAACAATTCTTGTAAAAATTCATTATTCATCGAAATTTTTTGAAGACAATGTCCATCTTATTCATAAAGCAATTATTTTTTTTTAATTAAGTAATTAATAATAAGTTACTAATTAGTTATATAGAATTATTTTTTATTTTACGATTCAGAGCAGATTTTCGGTAACTGGGCGTCCTGTTTTACAAAATAAAAATGATGATGTAAATTCTCCAAGGAGAATATAAATATAAACGCTACAAATTTACAAATAAACATTAAACTCCACAAATTTAAATTTCTCGAAATTTCATAAAATTAAGTGTGGAATAACAGATGTAAAAAGAAAATGTATAAAATTTTCGAAAAAAGAATTCCATTCATTTGTCCTGAAAATTTCATTAAAATCAATTATCTGATTTTTGCAAGAATTTCCAAATCAATGTTTTTCACATTGAAAAAGATTCTAAATTTTCCTATACTAATATTTGACCACCTCGCTGACGGAAAAAAAAAAACAAGATTTTTAACGAAAATTTTGAACGTTCTAAAAATGATAAAAAAATATATAATTTAATAATTAAGAAATCTTTTGGCCTTCCCCTCTTAATAATAACATAAAGATTTTAACGATAGAACTTTATTTTGGGGCATTTTTTAAATCATGATATGCTAATTTTTTAGCGAATTCTGTGGAGGTATCTAAATGACACAAATTAGGTTAAATTAAAAATGGTTCCTGCCATACACTTCGGAGACAAAAAAGAAAAAGTGGGAAAAAAGTTAAAAATCATACAAATAATTTTTGATCATGCAGGAAAGATCCATGCTACTTTAACTAACAGTTCATTTCAGAGCAACCCAACATTATAAAAACCACCCTCAATTCAAATCTAGTACAGAAGGTTCATCCTAGCTACCACGGTCACTTGGCGGAACCATTTTAGCCGGGCATTTGCCGAAGACCTATTGAAACCAGACTCTGACGACCTAGGGTTACCACAGTGATCCCAGGAATCCACCTTTAACAGTAGTAACTGAGATCACCACACGATAAAAATCTCTGCTATGCGATAAAGATCATGCAAGTATATATTTTCCTCACGTCAACCTTCTCTACATCAACTCTTCAATGACAACTCGTACGTATGTTGTAGAATTCCTACGTGAACTCTCTAATCATTTTTATATATCACCCGAGTCGAAAATAAATCCATCTTTTCACTTTAATAACATCTCTTCTCCATTTCCATCTGATTCTTTTTTTATTAGTTTATACCCTAGATGACACTCGAACCAGTGGCGCAGCTAGGGGGCGAGAGGGGCGGACCGCCCCGGGTGCCAGCACAGGCTAAGGTGCCAAAAATAGTCTGAAAACAGTGGTGGAGACACAGGGTTTCGCAGGCGGGCATATGACTCCCCCGCCCCCGAAATAATTTATGACCCCCCCAGTTTTGTCCCCCTGTCAGAAATTTTCTAATAAATTGTCAGGAAATTTGTGAGTAGGAAAATAGCAATGTTTTCAGCTTTTGATTTGAACTGATTATTTTGTGGTATTGGATTTTGTCTTGGATCAAACATGTAAACAGTAACGTACCGGTCAGTAGAGTAAAAAAGAGGTAGAGCATGTATGAAAATTTAGCTACAGCTAACCATTCAGCATAGGGTGAATCGGGGTCATTGGGGTGACATTTGAGCGGACCGTCCCGGGTAACGTTTACTCTAGCTACGTCACTGACTCGAACAAAACCCTTCCATATTTGTCAGTAATGTACCTACTATAGCAAAAGAAAATGGAAACTGATTGAAGAAAAGGAGTCTCTAGTTCTACAGTGCAATGACGCTCATATACGTAAATATTTTCCTCACGTGATCTTTCTCGACAACAGTGATGCAATACCAACTCCTACGTACGCGGTAGAATTCCAGGACAAACTCACCAATCATTTTTGCATATTGAAGAACCTGCGATGTTATCGGTCCTGACCTGTCACCTCGGTTTCCGTCACTTTCCCACTTTCGTAACGTAAACACCTGTCCTTTTTCATGTATTTAAGTGCAGTACTAGATTGGCAGCCAATTCTCGCCATTTTACCGTTAAAATTGCTAGATGTAACCGTAAGTTCTATGTTAACAGTTTCTTCGCTCGCATTTCTCGCTTGTGGAACTCCTTTCCGGATTCTTGGTCTCCAGTCAACTTTGATCTTCAAAAATTTAAATATAATGTCAATCATTATCTTCTGTCTTCTTATTTCCTGTTCTTTTATTGATCCTATTTCTTAATAATGTTTTTCTTTTTCCCATATTATTTTCCACTCAGTAACCCCTCGCGTCTAAGTGTAAATAAATCTTCCTTTCACTTTAACTTTCCTTTTAAAAATAGAAATTTGCGTGAGACAAGGATGTGTCTTCTCCCCAGATTTATTTTACCTCTACAATGGTGCTATTCTAAGAGTATCGGAGACCCTACCAGGATTTATTACCGGTGGGTGTAATCTTAACAATATAAAATACGCAGATGACACTGTGTTGATGGCTGACTCGCAAAGGAAACTACAGGACCTCCTAAATAGGGTGGGAAAAGAAAAATAAGAGAAAGCGAGAAAAAAGGACTATCAACTACAAGAAAACACAAAGTATGGTCGTCAGTTAGAGAAAAAGGTCCAAAGATGAGAGTTACGAATCAGTTGGTTGGGAGGTTGATTTTGTTTAGCGGTATGTCAGCTTCTATGAGTTATTTAATACCGAAATCTAAATATCTCGCACGCATTTTTATGTTTTCAACTACAGATATTTTGTACATAATTTTATAATCTCTAGGTAAAGATGTCGGAGTTAACTCCTCCTTAGTTTCCTAACTATTCACTAGGGCACGCTCTACCTACACTATAAATACTGAGCGATTTCTTGCCTCGTTCTCTTTTTACTTTGCATTTCAGCGGACACATTTAAAGGATGTGATCTCTCGCAAAGATTTGCCCACTTGTAGGAAAACGCCATGACACACATACACACATACACATTCATCAAAATACAAACTCTTTACGTTCACGCACAAACACAAATGTTGATGACTTTGTCCATTATAAATTTTGTTGTTTAATACATATACTTGTATATATATATATATATATATATATATATATATATATATATATATATATATATATATATATATCTTGTTTTGTTTTCTTTACATCTTCGGTTGGACTCAACTTGAGTCCGCCATATTCTTGTAGTGGACCTTTTAATATTCTGTCAGGAGTTACATACGTGTTCTTAATTTAACAACGCGTAAACCCCTGGTCAGTTACAAAGGTTTGTTTTTTAGATATATGGCTTGTAGATCATAAAATGTATTGTTGGTAATTTTGATATAAAAATGTATTTTTTAATATATTTTTAGTGCCGTATTGACTGAGATTTTGCTATGAAATGTATTGTTCATTTTATTATAAATTTGTACTGGTGATTTTTGTTTGGAGGTGGGGTGGGCCTCATTATTTGCCCATAGCTAGGACCCTAACAGGTGCTACCATTCTGAGTTAGGGTGAACCTGGGAACAACAGCAGTTAAGAGGTGGTTCCTCGTTCCTCAAAACATCGAATCTCCGGCTGGCTGCCGGATGTAGTTTATCGTCGTACAAAGGATGCGTTATAAATCGGATATATAAGCGTCAAGCAGTTGCATATGCAACACCGAGATCCGAAGACGCATTGGACTAGCGAAAGTGGCATTCCAGAATCTAACCAAAGTGCTGAAACAAGGAAAAATTTACATTCTTTAATAAGAATTACTGGCTAGTATTTCTTTAAGGTTTTTGAAATTTACATGCAAAAACATATTAATTTATTTTAATCCATTTTTCTCTCTTTTTACGCTCGTATACGCATTCTTACTGTTGTTTGAGCAAATACACGCATTTTTCCACGTTTTTTATAATCACAATATTTCACTTCGTTTCTAGTCTTTATCATTCTCTCTCTCTCTCTCTATCTATCTATCTATCTATCTATCTATGTATCAGTCTCTTTTTCTATCTATCTATTATAGTCTCCTTATCTATCTATCTATCTATATATATATATATATATATATATATATATATATATATATATATATATATATATATCATAGTCTCTTTGTCTATCTATAATAGTCTCTCTCTCTCTATCTCATCTAGCATAGTCTCTTTATCTATCTATCATAGTCTCTTTGTCTGTCTACCTATCTATCTATGTATCTATCTATCTAATATATATCTTTATCTATCTATCATAGTCTCTTTGTCCATCTCTCTATCTCTCTATCTATCTCTCTATCGTGCAAATAGACGCACTCTTTTGACTCATCCTTTCATCTTTCATATCCTCTCTCTTTATCTTCCTCTCTCGCATTCTCTCTACCTCTCCCTCCCTCATTCAAATACATAAGCCCCAACATTTTTTGCCTTTCACTATTCATGTCCTTTATAGACTTCTCTTTGTCTCTTTCTCGCTCTTTCATTCTTCTTCATACCCTATCACTCTTCCTTTCACAACTCCCACATCCTGTCTGAATTTCTTTCTCTCTTTCTTTCAATCAAATACACACGCACTCTCTTAGTATTACTGTCTCACCACTTGTTTTTATTTTTCTTTCTCTCTTTCCTTCGTTCAAATACACGCACACTCTCACACTTCCTCTCTCACCCCTGTTTTTCTTTCTCTCTCTCTCTCTCTCTCTCTCTCTCTCACTTTCATTCGAATACACGCACTCTCACATTCTTCCTTTCTTCATATATTTGAAATAAAGAAAGAGAAGGAGCGATCTCTCTCTTTCTTTCATTCAAATATATGCACACTCTCTCTCTCAGCTTTTCACTTCCTCACTGAATTTTTCTTTTTCTATTTCTTTTACTTTTTTTTTCAAATTCAAGATTAATCTCTTGCCCAGCACCTTTCGCCTCACTCAAAAGGACATTCAGTACACCTGACCTGTGGAGACCCAATATTTAATTTTGACCCTTTGCTTTTTTTCGGTTTATGTCTTTGTTGCCTTTAATTTTTTTTTTTTGTTCCTTTTGTCTTCCACCCCCCGACTCCTACCCGCTGAGTCAATTCCCTTTGAGGCGTCAACTTGTAATTAGGTGAAATCTACACACTTACAGACACACGTACGCACACATAAACACATTCACACACACAAAACTCTGTCACACTCCGCTTAACGGCATAGGCGTACCCATACTCACACACACATAACAAGACGAATAATACATCTCTATCACAATAAGTACTTTAAGATATGCACAATAGGCAACGAAATATATATATATATATATATATATATATATATATATATATAGAGAGAGAGAGAGAGAGAGAGGGGGGGGTCTGGACGACGCCAGAAGTATTTTATGCAAAATCTTTGAAATCGCAGGGTACCTGTACACATTTCCCTGAAGTGTACCTTTTTCCGATGATCTTCAGGTGGTGACGAATATATTCAAAATAAGTTCTTCTGACAAGTCCATCTGAAGAATATTCCAGTCCTATGATTTCTGGGCGTATACGACTACGGCTCTCCACAATTTCCTATCTTTTATTGCTCTAAGTAACATCGGGCCCTTTGACAGCACTCTTTGTCTTTGCGCTACCGTCCATTTCACACAAGTTCGAAAATTACTCGTTAATTCCCGCTTCTACTATTTCCTTCACTACGCCCTGTGTGCGCTATATTCTCCAGGCCCTCTCCCCTCACTGCGCGTGCCAGTGACTTCAACTCTCTTTTTGAAGTAAATAACACGAAGTTTTTTTATTTGTTTGTTTTTTTTTGTTTTTTTTTTAAACACAAAAAAACTAGGGCCTCCCGGTATTCCAGTCCAAGTCGAAAACAAAAACATTTTATGACTTTCCCTTCCTTCTCTATTGCAGCGAATGACGGATAATTTCCTCGCAGACTTGAGGCAACAGAAATTAGATTATACAGAAAGATACTGAAAATATCATGGATGGAACATGTAAGCAACTAGGAAATATTAATGAAATTAGTAATAAAAAATGACCCTTTTACTTAGCTTTATAAAGAAACAGTTGAAATTTAGTGAAGAAAAGGGGTTGAGAGAATTTGATACTCACAGGACATATTGAAGTCTGAGAGGAACAAAAGGAAACAACGAATAACTTGCTTAACGTTTTTATGTAAATGGATGGCAGAACAATGACTAAACATTATTTAGGGCTACAAAGGATAGGAAATTGTAGAGAGCCATGATCGCCTATGTCCTGAAGAGACACAACACATAAAAGAAAAAGTGGGTACAGTCCGAATTAAGAATACCCAGAGCCAAAGTGTGACTTTCATTGAAGAGCTCGCTTGATGAAACAAAATTGAAGTCACTTTTAAAAGTAAGGGCTTACGACCATATTTTTTTTTATTTTTTTTAAGCATTACGCCCCGAGCAAGGCGTGAAGCCACTAGGATGCGGGGGTGGGGTGCAGAAGATTTGGAGCGAGAGCAGATAGGAGTGATAGAAGAAAGGATGAGGAGAAGGATAGTGGATAGATCAAGGTAACTGGAAATGTCGATTGACATATCATGTTGAAACATTGGTTCTCATACGTTTACCGAAGTTAGGCAACGTCGAACGTGGTCAGTATCTAGATAAATGACCGCTAAGCTTGGATGTGCTGGATGTAATGGATAATTGCACGGAACTGGAAATCGGACAATTCCACTCGGTTTTGTTATATTCACTTTATCCTTGGGAAGATTTATGAATCCATCTCTTCTCCCTCCACCTATGGGTTAATTAGTAGGACTTGATCAACGATCGAACAAAAATGTGCAGAGAAAGAAAAACACGAGATCAGGTAAAGTAATCGGTTTTGAATTTGGTAAATGGCGGATTTTTTTAGTTTTGGAGGCTTGTTTATAAATCTGACCTGACATTTAAACTTGAACATTTAATAGTTCTTCATTTAATTTGTATTTGTGTTGTAAATGCTATCTTTCGTATTGATTTTTTTTTAAAACGGTACATATCGCCCGATTAACACACCACCCTGATCTTTGGAGCAGGCGTAGAAGTTTATACCTTGTTTCCTGTTCAGGATTGGGTTTCCGGTTCCATCTAGAGTCTACCTCAGCTCAATGCTCCTAATGCTTGTCCTTTCTTATGTTAATACAACTCCATACAGACACCCTCTACCTTGGGTGGCTCTTGGGCCTTGTATTGGGTGAACATTAGAAAAAAATACGGAACGCTAAAAAATATGGAATTTAAAAAAAAGTATTGTATTGGGTGAACATTAGAAAAACATACAGAACGCTAGAAATATGGAATTAAAAAAAACAAAAAAACAAACAAAAAAAAAAAAAATACGCGCACACCCACGCAAATATATGTACACGGACGCATGTGTAGACAGAGTTGGATATTCATAATTAGACTTGTAATTAGATATTATTCCAGCGTATTCATACACGTTGGCATAATCAGGCGTACAATGACGGGGCTGTTTTAGAAAGGCCGGAAGTCAACCAGTCCGAGAATAGAAAGGGATCTTTAAATTTAATAGGAGGGAGGGAACCAATAATTAAAAAAAAAAAAAAGATTTAAATAAATAACGAAAAAAAAAAAAAGAGAAGAGGGCTCCATTTTTGGTGTCTACCTCTGTTGATAGGGCGGGATACGACGTCTGATCAAAAAGTATCGGCAGTGTTACTATAGTAACGGAGCTAAAGTACGCAAAATGAAACCGCTTAGCACAGACTGACCTTGAAATCTGTCGCACATGCACACTAAGTAATAACGTTCTCGCTTACTTCCGTTGTTTATAGCAGTGCTTGGAAGGAAAGTGTGTAGAGTGTGGTCGGCTCACCTTACCACAGAGGTTTCCTCAGTGACCATGCAGCAGTTTTTTGACCATGCCCAACATTCCCTAGGTCCAATATTCCCCAGATTTTCACCCCTTGCGACTTTTTCCTTTTTCAAAAATCAAATCCCATTTGAAAGGAACAAGATTTCAAGACGTCGAGGAGATCCAAGAGAATGCGACGAGGGAGCTGTTTGCTATCCCTCCAAAAAAAGTCAGTTCCAGGAAAACGACGCTGAATAAAGTGTGTATCTTCAGAAGGGGACTACTTCGAAGGAGATTAAATGCTGAATTGATATGCGCTGTAGTTTTCTTTTTATAGTATCAGTCCCGATACTTTTTTATCAAATCTTGTAAATACCCTCTCTCTCTCTCTCTCTCTCTCTCTCTCTCTCTCTCACACACACACACACACACACACACACACACACACACTCTAACGATGTAGGTTATTTTTTTCGGAATTTGAATCTTTTCATATTCAAATTTATTTTGCAACATTCGCGTCACCGTTAAATATTATTGTGCGATGATTTATGTAAGTAAATTGTTGGTAACTGCTTTCAAGGGCTAGTAATCGATGTGAGTTTATTAATTAAAGTTGTTAAAATTATAAAAAAAGGGTGGGTAACAAACAAGTAAACGACAACATTTTACTGGTTTAATTATCTACATATAAAACCCTATTTTTTTATTTTTTTTGTAAAATTAAACATTGGCTTAATTCTTTTTTCTTAGTACAGCATAATCTATTTTCGTATAATAGGTATCACGGATTTTCTATAAAGAAAACTGAAAAACGCATTTTAAATAAATTCAATGCCTTCTCTGAACTTAAATTTTGGTTCTGTTTGAGACAGAAAGATAATCCGAATTAAAAGCAAAAAATCTAATTTCCGTATATAAATAAAACATTGTCACGTTTTTTCGTCACTCGTCGAGTCGCCATTGTATACAAACTGTGTAAACAACAAATTTGAAAATCTCTTTAGTTTAAAATTCAATATTTGACTTCGAGTTGTGTTTCAAAGTCTATTAGTAAATTTAAGACGTAATTAACGGGATTTTCTAAAAGTAATGCATCCCTTTTACTTAAAAAAGAATGAAAACGGTAGCCTGTAATGACAAAGGACAAGTAGAAACGTTGTAATTCTACCGCTGTCCGAAAAAGCGCACGATAATGTAAAAATAAAACCTAAAAAAAAATACGGAAGACGAGCAGGGTATTTCATTGTCATAAATTTTTCTTTTAATCCGGAATATCTGTAAGTCATTATATCTCACATACAACCGAAATTTAAGTTCAAAGAAGGTATTTAAAATATTGAAAGGGCGGTTTTCGGTTTGTTTTATTTTATTTATTTTTTAATTTTTTTTTTTTTTAGAAAGTTCGATAGGTACTGTCATATACGGTCGACGTCATTCTTGACGCAAACTTTAAAAACACACTTTCTTCAGTGTTTCTTCATATAAAGTCGGGTCTTATGGGATACTAGGAACCTCTTATAGTGGCATGGGGCCTCGGGCTTAAAATGAACAGTTGGTTTACTCACGCCAAGAAGATTAATGGAGGATTATAATAACAAGGAAGCATTCGGGTAATTTTAACAAAAGAAGATAAGGAATTTATTTATGAATTTACACGCTCCAAGTAGTGTCAGTAGGTCGTTTCAGGAAAATAAATCAGAAATTTTTAAAGTTCGTAATTTTAACGAATTGTCCTGAAGAGGAAATGTTCATACAACAGATTAAATGATCTGACACACAATAGCATTAAAAAATATTTCAAACAAAGGTAAGAGAGTTCGTTGTCCACAGAAGGGCTGTACGGTCGCATACAATCAAAAATAGGTGAAGAGAGATCGTTTGAAATACTTAGCTTTCTGGGATTATTCAAATAAAGTTCTTTGAAGTGTCAAGTGCTTGGT